CGACACCACACGGGCTTTGCCCGGGCGGCGCTCGCCGGCGGCAGCGGGGGAGGAGGGGGGATGGGTGGCGGCGGTGCCCAGCGGCTAGGGTTAGCGCCCGGGCCGCTCGCGGGGAGCGACACGGGGCTCGGCTCTTTTGGTTTCTGCCGAGAAGGGTAACAGTGACGAATAAAATGTGGTGTTGGAACGCCTAAGCGTGATCTCTTAGGAGTAAGACGCATCATGAATCAGAGTTCGAGTAGCAGGGATAACTGAGGTGATGAATGAGCCTGGGTAATGTTTTGGTGTGCCAATAGTTGTGAGAATTTAAGGTGCCATCGAACAACTGTGCTTCCTTCAACATTAGAGCTATGGTCCAAATAGAAAAAATCCTTTCAAAATTGAGGACGGACCCCTGGATGCACCGGTAGAGCTTCAAAGAGCTTTACCCAAACCTCTTCAAGCAGTGCACTCTCCGGACTATAACCATAAAAACTGGTGGAGAATAACAAATGGACGCGAAAATGCTTCAGGGCTTACTTCATTGTAGAATCTATAGGCCAATTCATTGGTATGTCCAATCGGTGGAATTGTGACCCCAAGAGAAAAATGGCGCTAGACTGCCAGTGGGAAGTTCGCTGACAGCTCCACGCATTCGGTGCTATTCTTCGGTTGCATCACGCCTCCCTTCGTTAAAAAAGAATAAAAAAACGTTTAGTTTGGTTGGTGATGCAAGGTCGTTGCCTACCTTTTGTCCAAAAAGAAAAAAAATCCGTTCCATTTTGTTCTGAACGCTGAAGAGGGCCATGATGAGCAAAGAGCAGATTTCTGTCATTGTTGGGTGTTAATCTCAAGCTTTTGAACACCTGATTTCTGTCATTTGCTACCACACAAAACTCCATTTATCCATTGGTTAATATCGCCTATCATAATCTGCAGATGCTGTGCAAATGTCGCCTAAATTACAAAACCAAACACGTTGCAACACTTTCAGAGCTTTCAGGCAATCGGGATGACAGAATGAAACAAATTCAGGAGACGCCATTGACACACACACGAGTCCAAGGAAACCAATCTCTCTGCTTCCCCTTCCTTCCTCTCACGTTGGACACGAGCTCCCTGAACCTGTCCGACTTGGTCACCTGCTCGATGGGTTCGGCTAGATCTTCCGTGTTTCCATCAGATCGCTGATAAGCCTGTGAAGATCATTGTACGAAGACCCGCCTTCCGCCTCGGCGGCATGAGCCTTCACGGCGAGCTCCTGCGCTCGACCCCTTGCCGCCTCCCCTGTCCCCCCGGGCTCCAAGAACCTCGCCACGGCCAATAACCTTTGTATACTTCTCAACTGTTTCATGCAACTGTTGTTCGACTTATATAAAGTTTTAAACTCTAGAAAGCAGAGCAATCCAACAGAAGTGATAGTACCATCTTATTGATGGGAAAAATAGGTTACTCCCTCTGTCCCAGAATATTGATGGGAAAAATAAGTTACTGTCACTTCTGGTACTGTCACAGTGCACATTCATAAAACACATTGTTGGCGCAGTGCACATTGATGGGAAAAATATCAGTACAACAGTAAAAATGCATTGTTGGCGCAGTGCACATTCATAAAACACATCAGGTGAGCAAAGACAGGGGCATCATATATATGGATAAGAGAGGTGGTTCAAAAGCAACCATGCACTGGTGAAAAGTAGATGCACAGTTCCTAGCATCGTAAGGCACACTTTGCACCGCTTTTTCACATCTGCTCCTCCTGGTACTACACTGGCCGTCGAGTTGACCTCGATGGCTACCGTGTCGACAAGCATGTAGAGTGCTGGCCCCGATGTCAAGCTCGTGAAGGCTCAGACTGACCCTGTAGCTTGCACCGAAGAAAGATGGAAATAAGTTAGATCCTTGTATTAGCTTACAGATAGCTGCTGGAGTAAATACTTTAAAGCATTCTTGTTCAGAAAGTGGATTCATTTTCAAATATAGGTAGACAAAGTACACATGAAGCTTCATATCTCACTGGACAATATGTGACCATGATGGCAAAATGTATCTTCATAAGATTTCTCAGGTTTGACATCCATCCAAGAATATTCATAGTTCAAGTCAGGTCAGAGCTACACTTAACGTACTGGGCTAGCTAAAGTTCAGAAACATGGCATCTTGGATGGTTCAACTAGTCAAAAAGTAAAGATTTGAAATTAAGATTCAAGATCAATTTTTTTTTGATTTGTTAGATACTTTTGTGGTAATTTCAGCATAAGAGGTGTGATGTACTGTTTGACCCCATTTTTCAGTAACCATCACTACAGTTCCAAAATGGGAGACATTTGAAAACTGCTTCTTTTCTTAGCAGAAAGTCTGAAGTTACGTGTGACTTACCTAGTCGAGCAAGATGTTGGAGGCCTGCTTGTAGATCACCGGCAGGTTGGTGTCATGGAGAAAGGCAAGGCCCTTGGGCTGACGGCGATCTTCATCCTTATCATCCGCAGGAGGGAGCCATTTATACCTGAATGAAATAGGATGTTTCAGGTCAGTTTCCTCCTCCACATTGACCAAGAGTTGTAACTTACAAGTACCAAGAAGCTGGTCGGACAAGTAATTTTTCAATCCAAAATATCCAGTACCCCTTTTTAGTAAATATCCAATATCTACGTTCATCTGATTTTAAAAAGAGAAAGTGTAGTCCCTTTGGAAGGGAGAGAGAGCTCAGCTATCCTCTTGACTTGTGACTTATGGAAAAGAAAGTTCAGGGGACAAGAACAGCTGATCATCAATGGACCAGATGGCACTCGTACGTGCTCAGAATTCTGAATTACTACCTCAAATCCATAATAAGTGTCATGGTTTTAGTTCAAACTTTAATTAAAAACACGACACTTATTTTGTATCGGAGAGAGTAACGTTTTTCTTTATCTTGCTGGTCTCAAGAACCAGCAAACATACTAATACTTGGAATGATCAATTGACAACAGAAAGCAGTGAAGAACTCAATTTTGACAATTACGCAAATTCTTATAACAAGCTACATGAAGTGGTGCATTGGAATTACTGCAGAAATACAGGGCTTGCAATTCAGTAGTACAAATTGCATTGGAACTGAAGAAAAGGTGCTACTGTTTGTATTCCTTGAAATAGATATTACACATGCAAAGGGTGGCTCCACCACATGGCCAAACGAGTGCAGGGGAGGAGGAGGGGGAGCGGAGGCACACCTTGACGATTTCCATGGCGTCCAGAGAAGAAGCTCCTCCTCGAGCACCTCCATCGCGAATCTATGGAGAAAAATAGATCATCAACGAGCTCCTCTCCCAGAGAAACAATGAGGATATGCAACGGCGTCCCCTCCAATCGCTGCTAGCCCACACCATGTGCCTCATCAGTGGTGCTGCTTGCGCAGGTCACGCCTGGCTATATCACGGACCATTGCCCGCCTGAGAAGGAGACGAGGAAGCCATGGAGCTCGGCGACGTCGATGGGAACGTGATGGCCACTGATCTGGCAGGAGAAGCGCCTCCTCCTCTCGACGCCATGGAAGAGCACATCTTCCTCTTGTGACCTCCGCGAGGAGGAGGCCGCTGCACGGACCAGACGCTACAGCTCCTCTTAACTTGTTTGGCCACTGCAACCGTGGCGAGGAGGCCCGTGACTCGGAGCGACGACCGACGAGGAGAGACGCAGAGGAGGGAGGCCGACGGCACGGGGAAGAGGAGGGGTGTGGCGGCGCGAAGGGAATCGAGAGAGAGGAGAGGAGGCGGCGCCGTCAAAGAGACAAGGGGCTGGTTCGGAGACCCCAGGCTAGGTCTCGCCCAATTGTGTCTCCGCTCGGTAGCATCCGCCCCTTTTTACCCTTTTTGTTTTTTTCCTCTAGCTAGCACAGTAAAAATCGATGCGGTGGCTAGCGCTAGGATGCGCTATTTACGCCACCCTTATTGTGTTTGATAGTCTCTTGGCTAAGAGAAGGCAAGCGAGAGTGGCGTTTTGGCTCCTAGGTGCATATGCACCCATTGTCGAAATCCAAATTCCTAGAAGTTGAAAAATTCGAAACAAAAATCCCGCGTGTATATCCGGACATTTTATGTGCGTTCACAAGGTTTCGGTGAAAAACGACGTTTTTTGTGGCTTGTGTAAAAAAGACAATTTCTGATGCTTCATTCTAACTATTCACGAGGCATTTCTTTATCTTTTTTACACAAGCCACAAAAAACGTCGTTTTTCACTGAAACCTTGTGAACGCACATAAAATGTCCGGATATACACGCGGGGTTTTTGTTTCGAATTTTTTAACTTCTCGGAATTTGGATTTCGACAATGGGTGCATATGCACCTAGGAGCCAAAGGCAATTACCGAAGGCAAGACCTCTTTTTTCCTTTCTCTCTCTTCAACCTCACCACTCACCAGCTTTTCATGCAATGTAAATGAACTGTTCAGCTGATGTTACCGAAAGCGCAGAGTAGATAGCAGGCAACAACCAAATGTGTATTCAGAACGATTCGCAACTGTGAACTTTCTTCTCACACTTGAGAACCTATCTTAAAGACATGTATTCTTTTCTTTCTTTTTTGACGGTGCTACGGCGGGCTTACGTCGCCCTAAACCTTTTCATTAATAACCAGAGTACATTTACAACAAAGACCCAGAGAGGAGAGGAGAGGCAAAAACATTTAGTTTAGGTTACAATCCCATAGACGCTACAAGCGCAGCAGACTGACATGTATTCTTTTCTCTCATTGGTTTATTAGAACTAATGTGCAGATCATTTGTTTCACCACGACTGTTTTTTGTTATATGCATATTACAGCTACAATGACCGGGTCAAGTAAATGTAGATTAGTGACACAGGACAATCCAATCTTTGTTGAAATCAATATATTTCTGAAATTCCAAATGACGTACTTTTCACAGGTGATTTAGTGTACTATATGGTATGTGAGAGAATCCAACAAATGGATTTGTGCTAACTTGTTCCTTTTGCTTGTCTGTGATACAATGCTGGATAACTTCAAACTGGGAATTTATGTCTTCATGCAGATATTAGTGAGTCGTAGTATGGTTTCAGCCATAGGTCACCGTCAATAAAAGATGTGTTCAAGTAAGCCAATGCTTGCAGGTCGCTGAGCTCAAGAGCGTACGGCACTCTGCCCGCCGCCAGGTGTGCGCCATCGCCTGTACACTTGTACTCTCCATAAAACACACTCCTGGCAATGGAAATCATCGAACTTAGCGTGCATTCTGAATTGATTCCAGAAAACACTAGCAGTGCAGGAGAGACATACTGATCTCTTGAAGGATCATTCCAATCATTCCATCCATCGGAGGCGATGATATTTGACATCGAAGTGTATGCAAATACAACACGGGAGTAAGGTCTCCACGCTCGCCCAAGCCATATCCACCCGGTGCCGCCGATGCTGCAGTTGACAAATGAATAGCCGGTGTTTTCTAAGTTGGATTCCCGGGCATGCGCAGTAACTGAACCAGTGATGGATCTCACCCCTGCAGGCACAGGATCTGCTATCGAAATCAATCTGCAGTTCTGATGAGTACACATGTGGAAGCAAGGAATTAGTGAACAAACTCGGTGCTTTTTCTTCCAGTCCTTGAGAAATAACTTTGACTCACCTCATAGAGTGACCTAGCATCTCCGAAGATGAAGTCGATGGAGCCCTGAATGAAACATTCCTTGAAGTAATGCCGGCCCCGATCATCGTGCAGTGTATCTTGTGCCCCAAAGAAGCCGCAGCCCCAGAATGCCGCCTGGGTCACCGCCGATCCTCAGAGCGACTGCCTGAGCACCAACATCTCCGGGTCTTGGAATTGGTGCTACATTCTGGTGTCAAGATGATTAAGAGAGTTAAGTGCTACTCAAGGTTCATGCAGTGTGGCTTAACTGAAACATGATCTGCAGTGTTCGCAGTTACAATGAAGCTGATGTTCTTTGCGACAAAGCCGGCTGCGAAAACAGAAACCGAAGCGCTGTAGAAGGTTCCATGTGATGAGTTGGCGGTGTCGTTCCACATGATTGCCGTCAGATCAAATCCCTGCCCCTGGAATGTGATGTTGGGCTTTGTAGCAGGGACTGTTACTTTCTCACTGTAATAACAATGCAGCTTCATTAACAGCACACTTATTAACTTTGCACTTTGAACATGAAGTGATGTTAGGAGTATGATCAAACAAAAATCGCTTACAAATAGATGCCCTTGTTGATCCACACAACGTTCCTCTTTTGGCTGGATCTTGGCACAGCATCAACCGCGGACTGCACTGTGGTGAAGTCGCAGCAGCCGTTGGGGTCGACACAGAAGATCGATGTTGCTGCGGTGTTAGGCGGTGGGAAGTCTGGCGGGAAATCATCACAGAGCGGGTTATACGAACCAAGATGGCGATGATAGTTAGAAAAATAATGAACAGTAAGCAAATTAAATGTTAGGGGTGGTGTTGCAAGATCAAGCATAGCTCGAAGGAATGAAGTGGTTGGGTTATTGAGATGGGCAAAGAAGAGCAGAAATGCAGCAGGTATACAGCAATAGAGGGAGATGGCTTTGGCGCTCATTTGTATGGCTGGAAGTCTCACTGTTGCTTCGGAATATGAGATGGGTCTGAGAGGGCATTTTAACAGGATCAAATGCGCTTTAAGAAGCAGCCTAAATTGCATGCCTTGCAAACAACCGATATCCTTTCTTCAAGCTTGAGACGCCGCACAAGCCAGTAGCCCACAGGAACAGCTATCATCTAAACAATGAAGCATTTCTTGAAATGAAAAGGTAGGTTCATGTCACTGTCAGAATCCAGGCATTATCTGATCAAGTAGTTGCTTCAAAGGTTGGTTCGCCGCGACAATTAGCAAATGCCCATATCCAAAAGAGGAAACCATGAGATCATGCGAAAGAGGTGTGAGGATGATAATCTCTTTCGGACAACAGATAACAAGATGAATATATTCAAGTAGTTTTGACATCCGCGGTTAACCATATAAACAGAAGAAAGAAAAAGATAAGACCAACTGTGAGGTCGGCAAAAAGGTTTTGTTACCTTAATCCCAATAAGATGTAAACCAAAGAAATAGCACGTCACCATCACAAGACAGAAATAAACAGGATATAGATGCTATTGCTTCAAATAAGGTTCATAGTGTGCCTGCCATAGCCCATAGGACCAGCCAACCACTGGGCAACAACTGCCACAATTTGCATGACCAGACTTGAACGGATGCATTTAATGCGCATATTCAGATAAATGACAGAGGGCTCAACATCTCGCACCAGATGTCAAAACACCAAAGCTAGACGAATTCTAAGTGGACACTTTTATCTAATACGACTATACCTATACTAATTTTGACAAGCTCAAGCTGCCTTGAATGTTTTCTTTCCAGTGCCACCTGTGGACACAGGTGGAATGACTTTAAGGAGGTTGAACCTCTCACAGTTTTCAACAAAGGCCAGCAGCACATACTGAACAAAAAATATCAGCATCGAATGGAAGTCCAGCCCCCCAGTTCAGGAATCCGAACAAGCAGGGGACCGGTATCCAACAGTTCCTGGAATCACGGTAATTTATTGTAAAGAAATAAAAGTAACCACCCAGTTTCTGAAACTCCATTGTGCATTTAGTAAACTTACGGTTGTCACATAAGAGTATTTTTGGTAGGACTAGGGTTCCTACCGACTCTGCCCCTTAGGTTGTAGGGACAGAACAGCGAGGGTTGGGGCCGAGGACGGCGGCTCCGGCGTGTTGGCGCCGTCGCGAGGGAGGAGAAGGGCGGCGGCGGCTAGGGCAAGGTGCGGCTAGGGTTTCCGGCTCCTCTAGAGCCAGGCAATATGATAGAACTATCTTTATTGCTTAATCTAAAAAGGTATCTTACAACTAATATTTATAACCTCAAAACGACTAGCCTAAAATAACTTGCATAAGAATTAACCTAAGATAACTTGTCGGAGTAATTGGACACGGAGACCCCGAAGACGGCAAGACGATATTCCAAAACATCGGGGCTAGCAAAGCCCCTCAGTCCGACTCCCCGGCCGCCCAGGCCGACTGCAGGCTGCGGACTGCACCACCAGGCCAACTCCGGGCCGCCGACTGCACCACCAGGCCGACTGCTGACTGCCGACTCCCCGGCGACCCAGGCCGACTGCGGGCTGCCGACTGCACCACCAGGCCGACTG